AGAGTGTGTACATTATCTAAGGCAGCCCTCCTTGGCTGTGTTTCCCTTGGAAGCAGGGAAGGCAGGCAGGCACATTATTTCAGTATGGTTTAGCTTGCCAGTAACAGGTGTAAGATAAATCAAAATAAACCCTTCTTGGAATGAAATCAGAGTCCAAAGAAAAGTTTGCAATAGTTGAAAGTAACTTCTCAGTATGTTAAACTTGCTTGGTTTTCTTATCTAAGCATACCCAGGAAAATGAAAAGTTAAGTACTTTATGATTCTCTTCCTGCCACATTTTTAATCCAACATATCTCAGGTCCCATTTGCCCTCTTTTAAGCAAGAGAGCAAAATATTCTTCTGAACTTCTTCTCACATTCCACTTGAATTTAGCTAAAATCTCAATGTTATTTATGTATTTTAGGAAGGCTTAAGCAAACTTCTATCAATATTTTCCTCTTTACCTTTCAGTGGCAAAACTAGAAAATCGGGAAGAAGTAAATGGGAAAATTTCCATTAATTTAATGGGGACTCAAGTTTCATCCTGTGTCTTGCTCTAAAGCACCAGGAAAGTCTGTGATGTGAGAGTGAGTAATGGGCAGTATAATTCCAGACTTCCCTGTAATGACTTATTAGAAGACAGAAGTTCCTGGTGTACGTTTACTTCTCTGATTTTTTCCAAGCTAATATCTTGTATGTGATCTTCCAAAACATAAAGCACGTCTTCAGCTATGATGCTGATTTTATTCTCTCTTTAAAAATCTCTCTCATATTTTCATTCTTGCAGATAGTGGCCTCTTTTGTTAACTCCAGTCTGAGATTTCAGATCATCCCAGCAGCTTTTGCAATGTCCACTTTTGAATACTACAATTTCAAATTAAATTTCAAACAGTGAATTCTTCCACTTCAGACATTTCACCAAGTACCTCTCAAGAAAGCCCTAAGACCGCATGAAAGTTTTGTTAATAGTAACTTAGCAAAGGATTTTTTAGTTGAAAGCCACCATCTTAAGAACCATGCCTCCCCCTGAAAAATATGAAAAGATGAGCCCAGGACATATGTGTGTAATAGATTATATTTGTGTATTGTCCAGTCCCACTAAAATAGTGTCATGTAAGACAAGTAACTTGTAATGCAATAACCTGAAACTCAAATAGCTTATGCGACATGTGCCAGCCTGAGTCCCCCACTTCACAGAGTAAGGCCAGTGCGGGGCTGCCTTATCCTGCTCAAGCTTGGTCAGAAATGATTGGTTGGGTTACCATTGGAGGTGTAGTTAGCATTTCTAAGCTATAAGCACTTCTAACGGCAACTCTGTGACTGAGAGATTAATAATGATAAAAAAGGAGACAAGACAAACCATCATAATGGATTGTTTTACTTATATTGATTTGTCTATGTAATTTTCCTCCTATGAACTTTTTGGATGTTGTGAGATTTTACAATATTCAAAAGTATGCTAATAAACCCAGTTATATACAACTGGGTAAAAGGGTGAACACAGAAGGTTTACTTGGATATTGCAAAATGTCCCAAAGTCTTTATATACCACTGGGACAATCTCTAAAATTACAGAAAGAATGTCAGGATGATATTAGGAAATGTAATTGCGCACAGTCTCTCACCTGCTCAAAGCTCATGTACACGCTCAAACTAATACACAAAGCTGCATTATCTTTCTTTCACATTCTTCAAAGTCTTACTGTATAAGATGTGAGAGCCTTTCCTGTTGCCTGCATTTAACGCTGATATATTGTAATGTCCTTTCCTTCTAAGTAAAAATGACACTTTGAGCTAATACAGGTTAAATTAATCTTGTGATAATTTTTTCTTTGTTTTTATCTGAACAGAAAATGAACAATATTAAATAATTTTAGAATCATCACAATATCATCAAAACAGCATTTG